CATTCCTCAAAAGTTTGAGAACTTTCTAAAACTTTTTCAGGAATATCTATACCATTCGCATTATCATTGCCTTCTGGACAATTTTTAACATCAGTCTTTTGACCGATTTCTAAATCTGTTTTTTCATAATAACTTGCATCATTTAAATCTGAATCTAATTCAACCCCAATAATCTGTTCTTGAATTTCATCACTGTTTTGTTGATTACATTTGTCTTTGTTTAGTATTTCCTGAGAATTAAGTATTTTATCATTGGAATGGTGGTCATAAACCTTTAAGTCAGCTGCTGCAACACTTAATTTAGTTCTTTCTTTGTCTTTATCTACTACTGTTTCATTTAAAGTTTTCCTTGGCATCAATGGTCCATTCTTTAGGTTGGGATTGTCTGGATACAGATCTATTACAGATTCTGTAATATTACTTCTTTTTCCCATTTCTTCTTCATAAGATAACCCTGCTGATATATGTACACTGTTCTTTGAATTCACTGATAAATCTAGAGGTTCCAAAACAATTTTTGTGTTTGTTACTACAGGAGTTTTGTGTTCAACAACATGGCCTTCATCCGGAAGAAGGCTGGCAATGTTTAGGGCGGGACTTTTCAGATCATCTTGCTTAGAAGGCTTAGTTCTTTTACTTGATGCAATTGCTTGCTCTGGCTGCAGAACACCTATATCTGTTACTTCATGAAAAGTGCTTCTTTCTATTAAATTGGACGGATTGGGTTCAATGTCTTTAGTAATCATGGTTTCAAAACATTTTTCCGTGACATGTACAGTATCTTCAGATATATGTTTATCAATGTATTCATCTTCAGTATTTGTAATATTCTCTGTAACATTCAGCAGAGGCAACACTTTATCTTGTGATAATTTGTCCTCTAATTCTAAATCCTTACTTTCTTGAAGATTTAACTCTTCCAGTTGAGCATTTTCTTGCAAAATATTTTTTTCTGTATGTTTAATATCCACATCAGTTTTGACATTATTTTCATATTCAGACCCAGATTCACTTTCACTGAGATGCAAATCACTTACTATCATTTTAATAAGTGGATTTTTACCTTTAAGCAAAGATTTTTTATTATTTTCATCATCTTTAATAGTTACTTCTGAACAATCATCCCTACTTTTTGAATTCAGAATTTTGTCAATCTTTTCTTGAAGTTCAGAATCAGTGAAATCAGTGTCAGATTCACTCAAGTCTATATCTGACTCTCCACACTCAGCCTGTACTGAGCTTTTTGAGAACACTCTAAGTCCAAAGGTTCCTTGTACATCTTTGTCCTTCATTTCAGATATTTGCTGCGCTGATTTTTTCTGTTCCTTGTCACTATCGGCTTCACTTAAATAAAACATGACATTGTCTTCCCTGGATTTCACCTTTTCACACTCTCTTTTAATATCAAGAAGAACCTCAGATTCAAGTAACTCTAAAGAGCTTGTCCCTGTGTTGCCTTCACTTGATAATTCATTAAAACTTCCCACAAAATCATCAATTTGTTCATTCTTTTGAAAGGAACCAACTGAAATCTGATTTTCCTCATTACTACTCACTTTAGGCCGTAATGTTCTTATTTTGATCTTCAATGGTTCTCTATTGTTTACTTCAGATTTATCTTTTTCATTACTACCATTAACATCTCGTACATTTTCAACTATCATTGGGTTAGGTGCAAATTCTTTGTCATGTTTAGTTTCGTACAAAGTGTCAGTTTCAGATTCTTCACTGCAACTTTCGTAACCAGACCTGTAATTATCAGAGGAGGTTGAAGTTGACCCATATGGAGAATTTGGAGGGGGATACACAATTTGACTCAATTTAATTGTTACTTTTATTGGTGGCCTGCTTTCTGTTGTACTTTCCTCAAGTTTTCTTTTCCTTCTTGTATATCTAAGAATTGCATCTTCTCCTAATTTGTTAATAAGTACAGAACAGGGCTTTATCTGAAAAGCTGAATGTTGATCATGAAACATTCTTTTACCTTTGGTGTGATCATTTTCATGTTCAGTTTCATATTTGTCTTCCTTAGGGACTGAACTATTTCTTTTCTTCCTTGTTGAACATGACAATTCTTTGTCTGGGGAAAAACTTTTTTCTCTGGCTCTTTTCTCTAAAATTGAACTTCTAAAGACACTAAATTCTTTTTTTGCTGGTTTGGTTACTTCCCTTACATATGCAGCACTATAATACAACCATGGATTGAAGTTGTAACAAACAGATTTGCTTCTCTCCCTTTGCTTTCTTTTTACTTTCTCAGCAATGGATTCACAGAAATTGTCTGATAAGTCATCATCAATATTTAATGATGTTGATCCCTTTTTGACTGTATTTTTATCTTCATTTGACATCACTTCTAATGTTGTAGCATCTTGCTTATCAATAAATATATCAGTATTTTCAAAACCATCTTCCTGTATAAAACCTTGAGATCTATTTCCCTTTATCAAAGATGACATTTTGTCACTTGTAATAAAACTTGCATCAATTTCATTCTTATCAACCTGAGCTAAGGTATGAAAGGCTTTATGTTCTTCATTCACTCTCACACCATCTAATTTTTCTTTATCCTTGTTTATTTCATCATTATTTTTCCCCCATAAATCCTCTTCAACATCTACATTTTCTTCATATGTCACTGTTTCAGAGGTGTCTTCATTTATTCTAGATAAAACTGAAACAGTTTGAGTTGTAAGTTTCTGGTTGTGTTCAATTCCATCAACTATTTTATCATCCTGCAAACCCATGCTTTCTTCCCCTTCTTTTCTTAATACTGGCTTATCTTGATTTTTATTTAGTACATCTACTTCCAATATTAACTTAAGATCACCATCGTCTTCAATACACTCTGATACATTCTTATCACTATTTAAGTTATCCTTTGCTTCAATTGCCACAGAGATGCTGTCCTTACCTACATTAGTCATACTTACAACTTTGTTCAAACTTCCAATTGTAGACTTCATAGTTTGACTGTCAGTCTGGCAATGTTCATTCTTCCAAATTTCGTCATCACTGAAGTCTTTTTGAAGATCAGATAAAGGATCTTTAACTGCTTTTGACGAATGACTATCACTGTTTTCATTGTCGTGCAATTCACCTGATAATGTGAGTAAATGCTCCTTTTGGTCAGTGTTAGAACATGTATATACTACTGTTTGTTTGATTTCTTTCTCAAGGCTTGTGAATATATTATCAACCCTGTATCTATCTTGAATGTGTTCAGACGAAGAATATGCTGAGCTTTCAGATATCATTTTAGTTTTTGATTTATCGTCTTCTATATTTTTAGTTTTGGATTGATCCTCTTCTATATTTTCTAAAGTTTTTGTAGTTCCTTTCTCAAACTCTTCAAATCTATGAGAATCAGGCACATCATCAAAATGAGTGTTTGTTTGTGACTTTATAGCAAATGATTGAGGAATTTGCTTAATAAACTCAGCATTATTGGCAATGGTTTGTAGCAAATTTTGCTTATCTTTCTCTGTTTCTTTATCATAATTGGGATTACTATTAGGTTTTGAAATAACATTAATCTGGGTCAACAAATCAGATTTAGATTTTTCATTGTTTGATATTTCTCCATCTGATATATATTCATCATTTTCATCACTACCACTATCTTGATTCCCAAAAAAATCAGTGACATGTTCTTTTATTTTAGAATCAACACTTTTGATTCCTTCAAGTTCAATGTGATTTCCTTTCATCAAATCTACCTCTTCTCTTGTAACTTCTATGGCATCTCCAGTTTGTGTTTCAGCATCATTTTCATAATCTGAATCATAGTAATCGAGTTTTTCGTCATCTGAATTAAAATCAGAATTAAACTCCCATCTATTATTGTCTTTTGAAAGTAACTTTAATTCTGACAATCTTGCCGACATTGAGACTGGATCAAACGGCTCATCTGTTGTTGATTCCTCATCTGTTTCTATTGAATTTAACTCCGTAATGCTTTTAAAAATAGTTGTAGCTTTTCGTTTATCATCTTTTGTATGGTCACAAGTCAATGTAAGGCTGTCTTCAGAACTCTCAAAATTGAAGCCAGTCTTAAAAATCCCTTCCATTTTACTGTCCCTCATCAGTGTTTCTGAATCTATTACTTCATTCTCTATCTTTCTTGCACATTTATTAGATTCAATGTGAAAAAATGCTTCCTTCTCAACTCCTCTTTTACTTTCTTGTTCATTTTTATCAATAAGTGAATCTCTTTTACCTAAATTATATTCGTCATCAATCTTGTTATAAACTGAAATTGTCTCAAGTGAATTGACTTCATTACCTTTTGAGAAATCAATGACATGTGCATTTTCTAAATTGCTTGCAGTTGGAATATCATCTAAAGATGGGGGCTGTTCTCCCTCTTCAAGATAGTCTGCAATTAATTCTCTTTGTGTATTTTCTGTTGAACTGGTACAAATTAGATTGGTTTCTTCACTGTAACTATAGTCAGAATCAGAATTTAAATCTTCTATATTACCTTTCCCGAGAAATCTTAGATTTTCAGATAAAATCTTTAACAAATTTGACATGTTCTCAGCAACACGTCCTTTGTCCTCCAGAGAATCTAGCATCTGAAGTATACTATCTGTAACAGAACCTTCATTTATGTGTTCTTTTTTAGTAACTTCTGCTTCAGAACCATCACTTAAAATTTCAACATTTTCAATGCTTCGTTCATCACATGTGCTTTCTGTTTCAGCTTCATCTTCTTTACAACCTGACGTTTCCTCACAAGTATTATTTTTTGTAATGCTAAGAAGAGAATCTCTGTTTAAACATGCTGGATATTTTATAGCTGGATTTTCAGCTTTCAATAACAGGTTTGCAATCCCAGACTTAATTTTTAAAAGAGATTCTTTTGAAATTGACTTCTTTTTACCTTTTTTAGAAAAAGGTGATAAAACATCTTTAATCTGAGTTAGAGTTATATCAACACTTTCACTTTTATCAAAGAGAAATTGTAACTTTGACTTTGGCGACTTTGGTGTTTCTATTGGTTCACTTATCACATCTGAAAAATTTCGTCCAATGTCTTCATTAAAAGGTGAGTCTTCTTTATAAAGGTCTACATTACGAACTTTTTCTGATTGTGACAAACCATCTCCTTCAAAGTTATTTAATTTGTTGCCTAATGCAGAAAACATATTTGCTTCTTTTGTTTCAGAACTAACTATACTTAGAATATCAAGAAAATGTCTCTCTTGTCTTACTAACTTGTCTTGTTTGAATTTGTTCATCTCCAGCTCAGATAATTCATTTGTGTTTTCTTTCAAATGTTGTGATTTGCCATGTTCATCTTTATCTAAATGCTGAGGTTCTAAAAGTGGAGGTTCTCCTTCCACTGAAATTTCTGTTGCTGGACAAGATAGCTCTTCATCTTGGTCATCCATGCTTTCTTCAGATACCTCCACTTTCTCTAAAACAGGTGGGGATCCAATCGAGTTATCATCAGGCATCTTTTTTGCGAATTTAATTTTTTCATCTTGCAATTGTTCATCTTTAACATTTTCTGTTGAGGTATTTTGATCAAAAATATCACTAACAGATAGTTGTACATCTGAAATATTTTCGCCAGGTAAATTATCATCATTAACTGCTTCTATTTCAAGAGCATTTTCATCTACCACATCATCTCTCCTCAAGTGCACAACTACTTCTGTGAGCTTATCAAGTGTCATCTTGCTTTTTTGAATGTGGTCAGGTTCTTCTTTTGTCTCTTCTTCAAAAAATTCCTCTCCACCTGAAAGTTTAAGGCTATCTCTCACTGTAGAAACTTCTAATTCATTTTCATTGTTTGATATAGCATCAGTCTCAACATTTTCAAAATCATTGATGCATACTTTAACATCACCATCCACTGGAAAATGTAGAGTTCTATCAAAACCTAAACCATTGTCAGCAATTGATGACACATCTAGTTCTGATTCACAGTTACTCTCTGATTCAGCAGAACTTCTAAATGGAGAGCTATTTTCAACAACATTTTTGTCTCCAGTAAGCAGATTTTCCTTCACTACAATTCCATTCATTTCATATTTAATGGTGAAATCTCTTTTGCTTTCTTTAATAGCAGTATTTTCATTTACACTTTTCATTTCTTTTGTCTCTAACAATTCAGGTGATTTCAAGATTTCAGGATTAGAGTATTTATCAGCTTTCTCATTGTCTACATATATTTTTTCTGTTTTTTCTTTAAGATTTACATTTTTATAGACATCCTCCTGGCTTAGACTGACTTTTTTCTCCTCTAGCAAACACTGATTAGTAGCTGTTACAATTTTTTCTGTACCTTGTTTGGTATTACAATGTGTATACTTTATCTCAACTTCTTTACTTTCACTTTCCTTTTTTTCATATTTCTTACTATCTTTTCTCCTTATTCTTTCATGACACACTGCTTCATCCTGTCTTTCAATTTCAGTCATAAGCTTATTTTCAATCATCTTAGCTTCTTTGATTGGCATTTCAGATTGCGAGACTTTAACATTTCTTATGTTAGTATCCACTTCAATCAAAGTCAAAGGCTGCTCATCTTTGCTGGATCTGGTAATAATTTCATCTAAGTCCTTATCATTATCATCTTCTTTAATATTTTCAGTGTCACTTTTCATCTCATCATTATTCAGTATGCTTATTAGACTGACATTCTCAAGATTTTCAGTAATGGCAGAATATGCACAAGGTAAGACTTCATCTTGATTACTTTCAGTACATTTAGAAATATTCTTCCTCAATAAGTCAGTTGGACATTTGTCAAGACTCGTATGTTCATAAAAGTCACCATCACTGATTCCTGACAGATAGGTTGAATGCATCTTTTCTTCATCTAAGCTTCTCTCATCAATTCCAGAATATGGGTATATTCTTTCAATATCATATGGTTTGTTAACTGAATTTTCCCATTCATTGTCTTCTGCTGTATTATTTGCAACTAAGGCTTTAAATGCCATCTCTGGAGTAATGGCGCTGTATGAATCTGCCTTTTCTTCTAAATCTGTTTGTTCTTTGTGCTCCTCTATTATACTGTCTATGAGATTTACAGCATCTAGTAATCGACCTAATAAACCATCTTCGATCTCTTGGCTTGGCTCTGACCTCATACATTCTTTATCACTATCATCGATATCTTTCCTGTTGTTTATGACATTTTCATTATTGTGTAATTCCACTTGTTTACTTTTATTGGCCTTCACATCATCATCTTTAATCAATCCCTTCCTCTTTGCATATGTTTTGAAATCAATTTTCTTCTTTTTTGGGGACTTTTCAGTGTGCTCATCACCAGACAATCCATCATCTTGTTCAAGAACTGCTAACACAGCATTCTCTTTCTTTGGGCATGTTTTCTTTAAAATTCCCTTAACTGGTGAAAGAGTTTTCATATTTTCATCCTTACCATCAATATCATCTGTCTTTTCAACTTTTGATAAACTAATATCAGTGATTCCATCGTCACCGTCTTCAACATTTTTCAAAATGCCATTAAAATTTCCATTTGCTTGAAGTAAAACATTAGAAATTAAGTCTGTTTTATATTGTGATAATGTACCAGGACATTCTGAAATTTCATTGTTCAATATTTCCTTTTGTGAAGTATGTTGTGTTGCAGCAAGAAGCTTATCATCTATTACTGCTGTCTGGTGATACAATTCAATATCTGGTACAGCAGGGCATTTGAATTTTGCTGATACTTTTTTCGTAAGTTTATATGTTTCAACATTCTTTGAAGGTGACTCTATATGTGCTGGTTCCTCTGATGTCAAAATTCCATATTCAATGTTTTCATCTTTACTATCAGAATGTGCTTTCACAATTGGTGCATTCTCAATATACATGTCAGAATGAGTCAATAATATGTTAGTATTTATAATTTCATTCATCAACATAGATTCACTTTTGGAGGTTTCTTTCAATGAATTTTGTTGACATACTATGTTTTTATTATCACATGATTTATCCATAGGTTCAACAATTTTGGATTTATTTATATCTACAAGATCTTTAATAATTATTTCAGAAACATCTGCTTTCTTCAGAGGATTTTTAACTGTACAGCTTTTAATTGAAACCACTTCTTTAGTTTCTGGTGACAGCTCTTGTGCAACATCAAAACAATGATAGCTTTCAGCAACTTCTGTAAATGTTTCTAACTGAGCATCTTTTAGAGTTGTAATTTCTTCAACACATGTCAATTTAACATTATTTTCACAAGCCACATCAATTTCTGAGTTAGGAACTACTTCAATGCATTCTTGCAAACTTATATTCGCATTGAATGTTTCAAGATCTTTAAGTTCTACAATTTTTTCAATATTGGTTTCTTCTTCACTTACTTCAATACCTGGGTATAATACATGACTGAGATCTATATTTGGTTTGTTCCTGTCTTTTGTTTCTAATTGAGAAATTTCCTTTAAACCATTCTCATTAGTTTTATCAACAGAAAATTGGTTTGTAGCACCACATTTTTCTTCTTGCGTTACTATGTCATTATCACAGTTTGCCTCTTGGAGGCTTTCCTGAGGAAAATTTATCACATGTTTTGGTGAAAAAAAGTCTGATTCTTGGTTATCAGTACTAAGCTCAGTACTTACATTTAAATCAGATAATGGTTTTGAAATGTCAGGAATGGAATGTACAAAATTTCGTGCATCTTCTGTGAGGCATTTTTCCTTTGCCCTGTGCTGTTCAAATACGGTAATGTCTTCAGCAGTATATCTTTCAAGGCCCTCGGCTGCACTACCAATACAGATCAAACCAAGCTTGTATAAACATTGTTCTTTAAATGAAAGATCATCATACAGTATGCTCAGATGGCGCCATTTAACAGGGTTTCTCTTTTGTCTGAGTTCTTGAATAAGTTGATATAACTTTCTACGGCGCTTCCCTTTAACTCTCCTGAATTTTGTTTTTCTGTAAGTAAGAAGTTGAGGTCTTGATTTGCTAGGTTCTGGTTTACTTGTTTTAGGTAATTTGCATACAAATTTTTTAGACCCATTTTCAATTCTTTTCACAGCACGGTTGGGCCTTAACTTATTCTGTGACCATGTCCTTGTTTGCCTTATTCTACAGGGAAAATGCTTTCTCAAAAGATCTTTGGTTTTAAATATATGACTACAAGCTGAGCACTTAATTGGTTTAAGTTTTGGATTAACTTTATCTTGCTCAATGTCTCTTTTCTCCATGTTCATATCATTTGATTTATTATTTTGTTGAAGCATTTCTGTAGGGCAACTTTTAGTTTCACAAGTACTTTTAGCCATTCTTTGTGCATAAAAATGTCTTTCATTGCAATTATCATCTGCTGCCAAAACATCTTGTTGAAAATGTGATGCTGTACTTGGATCAACATCAGATTTTCTAATCATGGATCTCAGCAGGAATTTTTTATCCTCAAATTTTTGTCTTTTGAAAGGCCCAACTTGACTGAAATTTTCAGACTTTCTTTTTGCCTGATGCAATACATTAAGAGATTTAGCTACTTCTTCAAGAATTTCTTTTTCAACTTCTTGTCTAGGTGTCGAACATTTTGGTGTAGATTTTCCTGATTTTGTAGAAGAATCATTTTCTCTAATGTGTTTATCCTTATCAAGATCAACTGTTTCTTTGGAATTAATATGCATCATACTTTGCCTTTGCTTAGATGAGATCAATTTGCTTTCAAATTGTTTGGTTGCTTTATCTGCTGCAACTAAATTGGCTCCAGCACTTTCAAAAAGTCTTTGTCTCAAACTTTCTAGAATCTTTGTAGGGTCTTTAACTGGGGAGCACTCAGGCGATTTGTCATTTTCTGTCAATTCTGAACTCAAATCAACAACCCTTTTCTTCCCTTTAATTCTATTCTGCATTTTATTCACAGACTTTCCCACAGAATGCACATAGTGTGATGATTCTTTATCACTATACTTTGATTTAGTTTGTAAAGTATCTGTAGAGTCGTCCATTTTTCCAAATGCCCTTTGAGATTCAGGCAGATTTTTACTCCCTTTCTTTTGACTAGTTACTTCATTTTTTGTTTTAGATGCAAAATCATTCACACATACCCCATTTTTTACATTTTCAATACTCTGAGATGAATTATTGTCAAGTCTTTTATCACAAGTACATGGTTTATTTCCTTCCACCATGTCTGAACAAGGCACTTGAAAAGCTACTTCGGAACACTCTGTCTCTACTACCTTACTATCAATTTGAGCAAAATTTCTATTCCTTACTTCATTTACTTCATAACTACACAGATTAGTAACATCTTCATTTGCTTTCATATGTGAGGCACTGTTTTGTGATCTAACTTGTCTATCTGCATGTATTTGGCATGACTCATTCAATAAATCACTAGAATTATTTTCAGAAACATCTTTTTCTACAGTATTATTACTGTCACTTGTGCTTAATTTTAACTGAATTGTGTGAGGCTCTTGGTTCAATCCAGTTTCTTCTAAACATATCCCATAGTCCTTATCAAAATCTTTTATACTTAAACTACCTATATCACCTTCTGTAAGCATACGTCCATTTTTATCAAAAATCAAATTATCATCTCTTATAGATTTTATGACAGTGAACTGATCTGATGACTTTTCAAGATTATCAGTTTCTATGTTCATCTTATCAACTTGCACCTTAGCTGCTTCCTCATTACTTTTAGATCGATCGAAACAAGGCAAACCAATTTTATTTTTTAACTCTTCTGGGTTGACTGTCTCCATATCAATTCTAATTTGTGCCTCCGTAGCTTTTTCATTAAGTAAATCTTTGTTTTGGATTGCAAAATCATTTTCAATAATGTCATCTGTAACTGGTGCATATAGGTCAAATTCGCTTCCTTGTTTTTCAGCAGTTTCAATAGAATTACTTGCTGTTTTATTTACCAACTGTTTGTAAGTATCTACTCTTATGCCATAATCTCCCCGATAACGAGAAGCACATTTTGCAGATTGAAGGCGTCCACTTTTTCGTACTTGTATATCAACATTATAAACCATATCATCTGCTTTCAATAAACTATCGTCTGAACTGCTTTGTCTTAATATTGATTTCATTTCAACTGATGGGGATCTGCTAGTGCATTCACCTTTGACTTCATTTTCTTCTTCAGCTCTAAAAACACTATCAGAAAGTTCAGGTTCAATTGAATCTTTATGGACTTCATCAGACTTTGCTTTATAAAAGTTTTCAATTGAAGGATCTCTCCTTAACTTAACATGACATTTTACCTTAAATGGATTCTGAACTACTTCTTGTTTCTCTGAATTTATGTTTTTACAAACATTTTCTTTTTTCCTTGCAATACTATTATCATAGTTTTCATTTTTCACACCTCTGTCTGTACTATTTATTTGAAGCTCAGAATTAGAATCAGAATCATCACGAAATTCATAATTTATTGCCCTTTGGTCTTTAGCACAAGATTTTTCAGCTTTTTGTATATCATTCTTATTTTTCTTTCCTTCGAATTTCAAACGATGTACTTTACTTAATTTACCCTTTAAATTACTTAAATTTAAGCTCCCTTTTTTATCTTTGATCAAGGACTCTTTCTTTTTCTCTACTCTTCTAACTTTTGACTTCTTAACAAGCCCAACAGTTTCTGTTTTATATTTCTGAATTTTTTCAGTTTTTTGATCAATGTTAATGTTTTCTTTTCTCTGTTCCTCACTATTTGGAGACTCTCTTTCTGAACTATCTGGTCTTTTGATATCTTCATCATCTTCAACTTGATGACGTGCCAAAACTTTATACTTTTTCACACCTGATTTTTCAAACAATATAGGAACTACCACTTCATCTGTATCCCTCTTTATCTTTTCCTTTTCAAAATGAAACTTCTGAGAATCATCAGACTTTCTATCAAAGGAAGTTGAAGATGCTTCCCCTGTGAGCTCAGCAAATCCAAACAGATTTTCAACTACATGTTCTCCACTGGCCATTGTTGCTGAAAAATAAATATGAAAGTACATTTATGGCACCTTGAACTAACAAAAAATGTTTGGATAACAAGAAATATCACTGTAAGTTATCAAAAGCCCAATAATGAAACCTAGACAACACATAATTTTAGGTTTTCTTTCTTTGATCATTGGCCCAAGTGGAGGTCAGTCAAACATACTATAAAAATAAAATCATGCCAATTTCTGTATTAATTAGATTTAAATATAATCAACATGACATGAAATAACAAAGAGAAAGGAATTATTCAAAATAAATGGCATTGATATGAGCCTTGTATAATGACCTTGGAATCTTTTAAGTACACAAAGGGCCATTTTCCATTCAAAATTTAAGATCGAGTTATGGGTCATGGAAAGTGACCTTTGTAACTAGTTTTAATACTGATTTTGTTGTACACGAAATCAACAAAGGGTCATAATTCTGTTAAAGTCCATGTCAGAGTTACATGCACTGTAAAATAACAACAAATTATGATCTTGCAGCCATGTTTAAAGTTTCAAGTGGTGCAACTTTGCTCAGTACTTTTCAAAATTAAAACTAGAAATGTGTGCATAGGACACAGGTGCCCCCATCATTCACTGTCTACTGACATACAGCTGGAAAATATGATAGAGGGACAGACAAAAGGAAATTCTACATGACTCCCTTTACCCATGAGTGGTTGGGGCATAAAAACAACATCCAATTTTTATGTTGACATACTGATTTTTGTACAACTACACATACTGACCAACAGTCCTGTTAACTTTCATGACTTAAGGTCAAATACTTTTTATCTATACATCAGACAATTTGAAAATTTCAAATTTATACTAAGTCAAGGGCAATAACTCTTTCAAAACTGAAATAATCCACAATCAAAATCCAAGGTGCGCAGCATCACATGCTGATCAACATTCCTGTAAAACATGACATAACATTTTGAAACTTTTTTGTCAAGGGAATTTACGCTACAAATTCTGATTAAATATACAAGAAACCCCCAAGGTGCACAACTACAAATGCTGACCAGAAATTAAGTCAATGGCAATAACTCTGACAAAACTGAAACATTTCTGCAAAGTTTCATGACTCTGGATCAAATACTTTTTGAGCTATGTATAACACAAGTTGAAAATTGCAAATTTTTACAAAGTCAAGGGCAATAACTTTACAATTACTGTATAAATCCACAAAAACCCCAGGTGCACACCTACACATGCTGACCAACATTTCTGTAAAGTTTCATGACTCCAGGTCAAATACTTTTGGAGCTATGTGCAACACAAGTTGAAAATTGCAAATATTTACTAAGTTAAGGGCAATAACTCTAACAAAACTGAATATGTCCACATGCAAAACCCAAAGTGCACAACTTCACATGCTTACCAATTCTTTTGTAAAGTTTCATGACTACAGATCAAATACTTTTTGAGTTGCACACAACAGAAGTTGGACATTGCAAATTTATAGAAAGTCAAGGGCAATAACTCTGACAAAACGAAATTTATCTACATGCAAAACGCCAGATGCACCACTTCACATGTTGATCAACACTCCTGTAATTTTGTTGACTCTAGCGGAATCACGTTTAGAGGTACATGAGACATAACAGGAGAACAGATGGACAGACAGGCAAGAGCAAATCTAAATGCCCCCAACCCTTTAGTGGGGGCACAAAAAGGCCATAATTCAATCAAAAATCAAAACTTGAGTTATGGATATTTGATAGTTACTTCAACTTATGAGCCATAAGACATATGTAGAGATCAAAACAAATATTATTAAATAATGGTTAGTGAGATATAAAGATGTACATAGATTGATGGAAATTTCATAAATAACTCCATATTGTCCTCTACCCAACAAACTTGGTATCATCAAACTAGCGTTTGTATTGTATTACCATATCATCACCTTGGTGTAGTAATGGGTTAGCTCCTATAATATTTAATAGGAGTTTACCTGTTATGGCACTAAAGTGAAGATATACTAGTAGTCCTCTATTTACAAACCAAGCATCATCAACCTGCAGTAGCTTTAGAACTTATTTACTAATGGCTGTATTCACATTACTTCGCACAAACCAAAGGACCGAGGTTAAACCTGTAGCTCCTCCAGTGTAGCTAAAATGGGACTTATTAAAGATGAAATGCAAACATTTAGGTCTGTTAAGGGAATACATCTCTGTAGTCCATGATGTGATCACATCACTTAATATAAGTAACCAACATACAACTACTGTAAATTCTAACCAGCATTTTTAAGTTACGTAACATAATTTTTAACCTTTAGTGTCAGAAAAACAAACTGAGAAAATTAGAAGCCAAGGATCCTAAAACTTTTATCAGCACCACATGCTCTGGTAAGCTAAATCAATCACTATCAATAAAACAGAATTCTCAATTTATTATCAGTGCTTGAGCCTGGATAATGTTAACAAAGCAGAAGATTTAGACCAAAAAATGTCATGGATATTGTTGAGACAATTTTATAAGTTCACAAGGTGACATATTTATGGGTCCTGCAAAGTGACCTTCAATTTTAACTCCAAAAACATGAAATAACTTTTTTTTAAAAGATTAATGTTACATGCATAACTTAAAGCAGAAATTTCACAATGGGCCCTCATTCAGTTGAAAGCCATGTTGTGAGCCTTGGAAGGTGATCTCCAATATTGATCTCAAAGGCAAGTTTCAGGTTAACAGTAGTTTTGACAAATGATGTTGCATGCAAAACTTCAACCAAGAATTTTTAAGTTCACAAAGGGCAATTACTCGGTCAAAATCCACACCAGAATTTATGGGCCTTTGACAGTGACCTATTATGACATCATTTAGTTGTTCAAGCAAATATCGTTAGAGGTTGAGGAGAAGCTAATAGATATTTTTGAAATTTTTAACAGACATGTTACACTGAGTCTGACTTGAGTCCCACTAATCTTTGAATAGTCAAGCTAGAAATCATTAAGCTGCATAAAACCTCAAACTGATTGTGTGTGTGTCTCTTTCATTTGATAAATTGAACATAAGAATAAATGTTTCAAAGAAACTTTACATTTTGTGCGTATGCATGCACGATGGTTTGATCCGCTAATGCCCTCAAGTGTCCGTCTGTTATCTCTACAATAGCAACCTCAGTCTGATTTTGACCAGAAGTTGGCTGGGTGATCACAACACTTCCTCTTAGCAAAGCTTCAACCAGAGACTGAAATATAAATTTTGCAGTGTTATGAAAGAATCCAAAGTCCCTGTCAGGATTCGAACCCACAGCGGTGAGGGGCAAGTGGTTTGAAGTCAACGACCTTAACCACTTGACCCACTTGGCTGATAAACATGTATTAGTCTATGTTTACGTACTGAATTGTTGTGCCACTTTTCTGTCTACTTGAAAGTTTTAGCACTTTTACTATATACATATAAGGAAAACCTATGACTCCAGGGCGGTGCTGATTTTGACACTAGAGGCAAAATTTGGTAGAGTACCTATAGATGATATCACATACCAAATATCAAACCTCTAAGCCTTGTACCTTTAGACAAGAAGGTATTTCAAGTTTTTACTATATGTACATATAGTGAATATCAATGACCCCCGGGGCGGTTTTACCCCAGGGGGCTATAATTTGAACAATCTTGGTAGAGGTCTACCAGACAATGCCTTATGCAAAATATCTTAGCTCTAGGCCTTTTGGGTCTTTACAAGAAGATTTTTTAAATCTATTCTTATAATTCCTTTTGGTTGCCATGGCAACCAGATTTCTGCATGGAATTTATAATCTATAGATGCTGCGGTGGCATAAAAATGAACAAAGGGCAATAACTCCTCCAAAATCTATTTAATAAGATCTATCTACCTACAAAGTTTCATGCTGATATCTCTTATAGTTTTAGAGTTATGTCCAAGACAAGGTTCAAAGTGTAAAAATGAACATTGGGCAACAATTCCAAAATTAGGCAAGACAGAGTAAAGCACTTCTACTCAATGAGATCTATCTACCTACAAAGTTTCATGTTGATATCTCTTATAGTTTTAGAGTTATGTCCCGGACAAAGTTCAAACCGTAAAAATGAAAGACAATAACTCCAAAAATAGGCAAGACAGAGCTATGGTTCTTTTGTACTTCAATTCTATTCAATGAGATCTATTTACCTAAAAAGTTTCATGTTGTTAGTGTAATACTATGTGAGATATTATTTCGGTATTGTATGAAAAGAAAACATTATAAGAACTGAAAATATAAATAAAAATGCTTTTTATTGTTGCTTTAGAAGGCTTTGTAAACTATACAATCGAGGGTGAAAACATAAAAGCCGCATATACAAGTAGTCCCTAACCAATGTTTATTGGCAGTTTAACACCGTTTTTTTTCCTTCTTTGTCTATAGTGACAAAATCACGTGGAGTGATATAACACATATTTAAATGTTTTTCATTGTTTCTACTGTCAAAGTCGGTATATCTTCGATATTTGTCTCTCAATGTATTGACTTTCCATCAATGACAGACCTAATATAAACATTATGATACTCCAATGTAAATTGACATTAGAACATGCAGTATTTTAACATACCAATTATAACTGCCATGTGCAATAAAGTGCCAAATTTTCCACTATGGTTATGCCATATCTTAGAATCTTACCTCTGGCTTTCTGAAAGGTTGTGAATGAGTTGTCTGAAGTTCCTGATTGACACACGACTGTTCGGAGACTGTACTGACAGTCTGGCTACCAACAACTGACTGCACTTGATTCTCTATTAAACACGTCTGTAGAATGCTCTGCTGTTGACTTTGATTACCTGCAGAACTCTGGTCTTGTTCAGATTTAATCTGAACACTACTACTAGTCTGATCACAGTGAGATACAACGTGTTTAACAGTCGGTACACTAGATACAACAACTTCTTGCGGAACAATCTCACTAGAACCCAATGTTGGTCCCTTTATGAGTTCAAATTCCACAGAGTTTATATTATTTATAGTATTATTTTCAAAATTGTTTGTTAACACTTGTGTATGGCACGGAGCCAAGGATGGTTTTAATATGCTGTCAGGTTCTGTTTTAAAAAATGTGGGTGTAACTGTGTTACACTGAACAGTATTCTCAATTTGCTTCTGTTGTTGGGTTACAGCTGTCAATGAATTTTCTTCAAGAGGCCAGATTACACCCTGTAGTCCAACAACAAAGTGACGATACTTATCTGTGTTCTCTAACTGGATTTGAATTATCTGACCTGAAAAAAAAAGTTTAAATTCTGATTTCATGTTATTCATTGCCCATTCACTAAAGGTTCAAGTAAAAGAAAGGGATATAACACTGTATAAAAGTACATACCCCTAACCCAAGTAAACTTGATATACGGAGTAATTAACTGCCCTACTTTGATGTATGTATCTTTAAAAGAGTCCCAACTAAAGAATACTGACAATAATCCTAACATAGGTCTTATTTTACATTTCTTTTTTTTTTTGCTAATAAATAACGTTACCTAATATGCTAGGTAAACTTTCAATCAATTCTTACAAAATAAAACAAGACATGCCCATATGGCAGAATATCCAGCCCACTAGTCTTAATTCAAACCTAAACCTATAAGCTTCATGTATAGAAGAAAGATGTATACACAGGTGAGATGTGCACAACACATCCTCTCTATACCCAAGGTAAAATTGTGACATTGCATTATCTTAATTGACCTTGACCTCTGACCCGGTGACCTAGTTCATGTGCATGACACAAAGTCTCATGTTGAACATTTATGCCTAAAAAACTCAATCCATGTTATTTGAAAATTCCTCCATGCACAAAGAAGTTATGGCATGGACAAGTTTGGACACACGCACCGACGTCCGGCCGAAATGAAATAAGGGGCCATTTCTTTTGTTATTTTCAAGCAGGCTTGACAATGATTCAAAATGATCATCTTTTATGATAATATCATAATTTCTACTGTTTTCTTTTAATGGTACATTAATATTTTCATTAAAAATTCATATTACACAAGATCCCTCTGCCAATTTGACATGTAAAGTATATAAAGTAACAGAGGAATATTTAGGCTTTGAGCACAGTGCCAAGGTGGGCAAATAAGAGCTCTCCGTTCTTGGGCATTAAAAAAGTGAAATTTTACTAAAAACTTATCAAAAAGTGTGATGCCGAAGCTGACCAATGACATTATATAACAAGAGGGCCATAATGGTCCTAATATCGCTCACCTGAGTATTAATACTCTCAATGACAAGGAACAAGTAATATTGTAAACTATAAACAAAAGCAGATATAATCAAAGCACAGAAGGCGCTGAATTTGTTTGGGTCTCAGAATGTCAGAAAGGTGAAGGTTGTGAGGTTATAAACCAATTTGTTTTTGTATAGTGCCACCAATGCTTTCCAGCGTTTTAATTGTAGTAAATTGGCTATAAGACTAATTGCAACACTGATATTCAATTCAATGTTTATTTGACTTAAACAATTTGAAAAAAAAAAGTTGCCTTAACTCCAGACCTCTCACTTCCTAAGCAAGCGCGCAAACCCCTCGGCCACGGTGAAGTTATATCTTAACGGCCTGAAGAAAACCATATTATTCTAAATTAGGGTTTGTAACCCTAATTATTTCGACACTAACTGTTGTTTAACACAGATGTAACTAATCATGGAGCTTACTATAAGCATGTATATCTATAAAGAATAAACAATATTAGAAATCTTCGACCATTCGGGAACTATTTTGCTTGAAAATTAATGCGCCTGTCATTTGACCATCTTTACGCAGTGATCTCCCCTGCTTTTTTCGGCGTTAGTGTACATATAAGGGGACGTAACCGCTTCAAAAAAGTGGACTACTTTCGGCATTTGCAATTATAAACTGATATCACAAAGTTCATATTTGTATATGAAATAGTGCACATGTAAAACATTACTGGTTGCTATTGCTAAGGGAAAACAAAAGTTAAATAAGAAGTAACTAGTTGCTGTACAAAATAAATTGTTTCCTTGGAAGTCAGTGCCACAGGTGGCAGTATCAGTGTTTGGCCACCCCACCCCTGGACCCATTCTTCAACCCTGAAAAAAATAATCCAACACTTTTATGCTTACTATAAGATAAACAGAGTTCTACATGGAATTAAATTCTTTGAACAATTTTAAAGGTGACCACTAAACCAGCATTCCTGTGAAGTTTGGATGAAACTGGCTCAGCAGTTTATAAGGAGATGTCATTTAAAGCAAAAATTTATGGACGGATGACCACATTAAGATAAAGGGCCATTTCTTTTTTCTTTTTTTTGTTTAATAGAGGGCCACTGGTCCCTTCCTCTATTGTTACGGAATGAACTATCTTGTTCTCTTTTGTTCTGTTTACAGATATTTTCAATTCAGTAGTGCAGACAGACAGACAACGGACACAAAGCGATCACAAAAGCTCACCATGTCACTTTGTGAGAGGTGAGCGAAAAATATTTATAATAGTCAAGGTAAAAATAAAACCTACCAATGGATAAAGCAGATGCAGTATCTTTAACACACTCCTGTATAGTTTCTAGTTCTAAATCGTTCTGTAATAACTGATTCCCATCCTCAGATTGTAGAGATACAACAATGGTTCCTAGCTCTGGCTTCACTTGAGGCCTAAGAAAAAACAAAATGACCAGTATTAAATTATAGACATTCTTCTTCCTAATAATGTCACTTAATGGTAAAGGGAAGTTCGAGTAGGTCATTGGCCAATGAAAGCCTTTATTCGTCAATTAACTAAAATTGATGGAATATATACATTGTCAAAGTTTCTCATGTAGGCAACCCTTTTTGATTTACAAATGTATATAAGAGCAATCAGTGATCACATGTGTCGGCTATTGATAGCCAATTGCATGTTGCAGCTACTGTGTAACAGGGGACACAAAAATCAGGGCAAAACCAATCTGATTAAAATCAGCTCTAATTAACGCCCTGCATTTAGATCTGACCATCACCAAATACGTAGTCACTTCTCGAGACTTTTCAAACAGCTAGTCATGGAAAAGCAATATCAAGAAGGTAATTTTCACGATATCAAGATATCATGCTGGCGTCGGCCATGAACATAATTATATATTGCTTGTATATGGAACAACTTTTATGTTTTGTTACATAAAATGAAAAGTTCTGGCTTAAATGCAGAGGCAATTATTTCTTTCTTTTTAGTTGGTTGTAACTAAG